AGCTTGCCAATGTCACAGCGTTCCCCCAACAACAGTCCGTTTAAACACGTTACCTGCCCTGGCAGAGCTGACGGATAATTGTGCTCCAAACAGCGCCTCTGAACACCTTTCCCCCTATCTTCGCAGCAACATCACCGGTGGACTTTCACAAAACACACAAACAAACGCTGCTGAGACGCTGTCTAGTTGGCTAATATCAATCTCACTCAGTTCCGGTGAGAAATTCCAAAATAAATCGCGGCTCTAACGGCGATATTAAAAAAAAAATGCAATTCTTTGGCGTCTGGTAGTTTCGTTTGCTATTTTAATGCCAACTTAATTGCTTTTTTATAATTAATAAATGCTATATTTGCACAAATTGGTTTATTCATAGAGCGTTAAAATGTAGTGCTTTAATTTTGAAATAAACCTTTCGCTATTTGCTTTTGTTGTAGCAAACTTGACGTACCGGTCGATTGATGCCATGACCAGGGAAAAATTACACATCTTCTCTTCTTTCGGCTACTACCTATAGGGATCGCTAAAGAGGAACATCTGCTTAGTGGCGTGCAATGCTGCAATTTTTGGTATCGATTCACTTTCAAATATTGCAGATACTAACACAGATACCAATATTTTAAAGGCAGCTTATGATAATATAGATCAATCAAGTGGACCAATATGGCATTGCCATAATTTCTCCACTTAAAAAATAAATCTGTTGGGCATCTTTCCTTCCCTTCTGACAACAGTTCTGATTGCTAAAGTACTGAACGGGACAGGCAAGAAAAATAAATAAATAAAATAAAAATAAAGGATATATGTAGGAAAGAGTGGTGTGTCATGACTTATGAGATGAATCTGAACACATTATATTGACCACTAAATTACTGTGAACTTTATTTTTTTCAGAATAAGTAGGTAACATGGTAAAACAAGTTCATGGTGTTGTCACAATAGAGAATTTCCTGCAGATCAAAAAGAAGAGTGGCCCAAGTTGTATGCAGTTTTTAGTAAATCTGTTAAAAAAAAACAACTGAGATAATATTTTCCAACATGATGCCCCTCAAGGTAACATTTTAGCCGTGCGTTGGAATTTCCCTTGACATTTCTGATGATGGAAATTCCCTGTTTGGACCGTTAAACCCACAAAGAAAGCCGTGTAGATTTGTATGCACAAATTTGTGCATATCAGAGTGGAAAAAAGTAGGTTGTACACCAGTTTTAGTGAGATGAGAGTTTGAAAGTTAAACCAAAAAAAGTGTAATCTTTCATTTAACAGGTGAAATTATGAGAGTTTATAGGATCCGGTTTACTTTTTTGTCCTGCAGGTTTCACCTAAAATATTATTTGATATTAAATCTAAAACACACTTTTGCTTTAAGCAGCTGGGTAAAAAGTATTTTAAAATAAATAAAATTCAATTTTTTTCCATCACCAATGTGATCCATAAGCTGAAAATTTGGCCTATCTCAGCCCAGTGCGCAATGTGTCCTTAAGAAATTTAAGGAAACTAAGTGGATGAGAAAAGAAGAAGTGGCGGATCTATAAATGTATCTACAGCAAATGATGAGTATCTGACAGTCATATCCTTAAGACCCAACAAATGCATCTGGCCCTAGTTACTCTTCACCGAAGCCACATGAGAAATGTCTTCAGCAGTGTTACTTTAGATTAGTAACTTAGTTACATTACTAGTTACTTCTATCAAAAGTAACTCAGTTACTTCAAGTTACTCGTTACTTTCAGAGTAACTAGTTACTAGGGAAAGTAACTTTGGTTTAACTCAGAATTCTCTTGTTAATGTGTTGCTTCCGTAACTGGATACCCAGCAAGATTGCCAGTCTTCTAGCTTGCTTACTTGCCACAAGTGCACTGTGCCACCTACCAATAGAAAGGAAAAGATAATGTGCACATTTCCACGAGAGAAATCCCACGCCTGATTCTATCCTAGCCATTCTATCCTCGCTTTTTACATCCAACACAAAAACTGCAGTCGTGGTGCTTTCGATTGTACTCAGAACTCGGAAATTCTGCCTTCTGAATAGGAAGATGTAGGTAACACCAGACTGCAGATGAGCTGCTTACAGGGCTGGACAAGGACAAAAAAATCGTCCCGGGCATTTTGACTAGAGACCGGCCGCCATTATAGGAAAAATCATAAAGCCTTTGAATGAAAATAAACACTGTTGTGACAGTGATGTACACTGTTCTGATGGTATATATGTATCAATCTATCAATCGTTTGTTGTAAGACTCAGATAATTATTTTTTTAAAAGCGAGACATTTTAAATGAGAATAAGAAAGTATTTCCTTGTGCCCCCCTTTCCCTTTTAATGCCCTACATGGTCCCCTGGGAACACTTTGCTAGATCCGCCCCTGCACAGTTAACAGCTGTCAGCTACTTAGAAAAAGGATCCTGGTGTTATTTGTCTCTCAGAAACAGTTCATAACTTCCCTTCAACTCATTCATGTCACCTAAAAGGTAAACCTGTTTCTCCATCACAGCTCTGATGATCCAGTAAGGACATCTCCTGGTTTCATCTTCATGTTTCCCTCTCATCACATATTCAAACCGATATCATGACCAGCAGCTTTACAGCTGTGGCTCCAGCAAACATCAGCTGATACTAGAAATTAATATTAAATAAATTCTAACAACAGCTGATCAAGCTTAAAAATTCTGCTGTTGTTTAGCGCGACATCCGCTGGTTTCCTCTTTCTGGCGCAAAGTGGGCGATAAACAAACAAGAGAGAAAAGCCAATCAGCTGATCATTGATCAGTTTCATGATTGAAGTAGAAACAGGAGAGGGAGGGGGGAGAATGAAAGAAGAAGAGGCAGCTGTGCAGCAAAGACACAGAATAACTCCAGCTTTGTGCCTTTTTCATTGTAGCTGAAGTCCGGGACAAACTGTTCCTTTTCACCTAAATACGAAACGCGTAATATTTTCTCTGAATACGAGACGATTCCGTTTTTTACAGGACGGTTGGAAACTCTAATAATTAACCTTATGAACAAAATCAAGTTCAACATTAGTAACATAGCACCCACCCAGCTGTATAGAAACTCCGTCATGCTAGCTAGCACGCAGTACGAAAAAGTCAGCATAACGAAAATAAACTCCACCTAAACTTGGTTCATATCTGACCCAGATGGACTGCAGGTCATAACTTCTTACCTGAAGTTCAGTTCACCTGACACTCTCGGACCAGCGGCCGCTTCGGGTCTCTCCTCTTGCCTCCCTTTTCCTTCATCCACCTGCCGGCCTCCACCACTTGCTAATGTTATTGAATCTGTGGAAGCTCCGCGATAGCCACCACACGAAGTAACGAATAACGAGCCTATCTAAATCCCAGTAACGAGTAACGCGTTCCCGGTTTTGGCATAATAACTAGTTACTGTGCTCGTTACCACAATAATAACGTAGTTACTGTAACGCGTTACTTAATAACGCGTTAGTCCCAACACTGGTCTTCAGTAGAAGGGTGGCTGCCAAGAAGCCATTTTTGGCATCATGGTGATCCACACCATAAAACAGAGTGGAGGCTCTGTTATGGTTACGGGCTCCTTTTTAACCAGCACTGTTGAGGATCTATCGATGGAATTATGAATACAGAAAAGGATCAACAGTGTTGGATCATGTGATACCGCTTGGCTTGACTTTTCGGCATGAAAATGATCCAGAGCAAACTGCCAATATAGTAAAAGCATATCAGGATAGAAAGCATACAATGGGACACTATCGGTCATGGATTGGTCTCCCCGGAGCACAGAACTCAACATTACCTAAGCAGCATGAGATCACCATGACAGAGAACAGAAGAAAAAGCAGACAACATCCTTAAAAGAGCCTTGGAATGTCCTCCAAGAAGCATTTAGAGTTATTCCTAAAGACTACTTAAGGAAATTACATAAAAGCTAACAGAGGTCGTGTTGTGTTGCGAAAATACAGTTGGTCCCATGGTTTTGAGGTGGTTTAGGGTTCCTTCGTTGCCTTCCTAGTGTTTTTCCCTTCAGGTGGCCATGAGTGGATTGTCTGCCCAATGTTTGAGCCATCTCAGTTGCCACTCCTCACCAAGGACTAGCTCAAGACACAACTGTCTGTCAGATCGACATGGTAATCAAGATCTCTGGTCTCTCTGTGGAGCCCTGGTCAGTCCATTCCTGTCCCACCATTGCTTCCCAAGAAACATCAAGGAAGAACTTAATCCAGTTAAGACACTCCATCCTCATAATAGCTCTAGCTTCCACTGACCTTTCTCTCCTTTCCTGACAGAATTGCTGCTTGAACCGAGTCCTGAAAAAACCATGGCGTTTGACCGCGGCATCAAGTCTTTGCTCCTTACTAAGAGAGCCTTGTGTTAATACAGTTTTTGAACAGCACTGTGTCACTTGTTGGGTTGTGCTTTAGAGTGTGAAACATTTTTAGCCAACTTTGATTTATGGCAGGCAGTCATACAAAATATTAACTTCTAAGCTCTCTAGAATTCTACAAGCTCTTTCTCTTATATGCTGGATTTCCATGTGTGTCTACACGTTCTTTTAAACCTTGACTTGTGCTTCAGTTGTGACAAAGCTATTATGACAAATTGTCCATGCTGATAACCCAACTGACAAAACATTTCTCTGTGCAATTTTAGTTTATATGTCTTGTTGCGTTCCCTACCTAGCTTTCTCCAAATCATAAAAAATATAATAACCTCAACATTACCGTGGACAATTACAATCTGTCAAAAGAGTTCTGCCGCATCTGAAGTACAGTTTAGATATGTGTTCAGCTGACATAGACAGTGTGAACATAATTTTGGAATGAATGGACCCTCATATATATTTTTTAAACATGCTCATATTGTGTTTATAGACACTAAGACAGTAATAACATGCAGTATACTGACTTACTGCAGTTCCCCTTGGCCCAGCCTTTCGGCCATCCCTGTCCAAAGTCCTGATTGGGCATCTTCTGATAAGATAGGCCCTGTTGCGATTGCCCTCACTCTGCTTTACACCTTGGCACGCTCCACCATCTCTGTTTGATTTCTCCAACCAGGATGGATCTTTCTGAGGGGAATGTGTACGAGAACCCAGAGCCGGCCTACCGGGACCAGTCGTCAGGTGAATATGAATTGCCCTACGAGGCCCCATACGAAGATCTTTCGCATCTGACTCCTGAGTATGAAAACACCAAAGTGGCCTCAAGAAGAATACCAGCTCCTCCTTCGATCCCGGCGCCTGAGCCTCCCGCAGAGGGGAGGCGAGGGAGCACGTCCTCTTCCTCATCCTCCTCATCGTCTTCTTCTTCTTCTCATGAGAAAGAAGAGGAGAAAGTGGAGCTGGCGAGTTCCAGTGGGGAGGAGGAGGTAGAGGAAGAAAAAGTAGAAAAAGAGGAAGAAGAGGAGAACACACAGGTAGAGCCGTTGAATGAGTTAAACTGGGAGATGGAGGTGGACAAATCACGCAGATCCTCATCCTCATCATCATCTTCATCAGCCTCTGAGAAGGAAACAGCTAAGGAGAAGCCAGTGCCTGACAAAGATGGACCAAAGGTCGTACTCTTTGTTAAGGTAGGAAAGAGAAAGGCTCAGATCAGATGAATGTAAAATATATTGTGGCTCTACAGGACACGCACACACATACATACACGCCGTCTTCTCTTTCTTTGAACTAACTTATAGCGTCCATAAATTTCAGTCATGATTAGGTTCATATCATCGTGGTGTACAAGGTCGGTGACTATCTATAGTGTGTGAATTTATGTGGAATGTGATAAAGCCACATTTGAACCTTATGCCTCTTCAGTACAAACGTCCTTCTATTAATAGGCCATATTATTTAGTCATTTCTCTGCACATGTGTTGATGTGTGCTGGAGCGAGATACTCTGATTCTAAATATAAGCTCAGTTGAACTGACGGGAATGTTCGGAGTCAGTGCCGGGATAGTTGGGGACGGTCCCTGTCAAATGACCATGTGAAGAGTGGTATGTGCATGTGTGTTACGTATACAGTGAGAGTGTGTCCATGTTCATTCGTCTATCGAGCTTATATTAGCGATAAGCATTCTAAATCCACACATGTGCTATTACACAATCAGCACATTCCACACTAAAGTCCAGTATCACTCAAGTACACAGGGATCATAAATGTTACACATTGACACTAAAGCAGCACATAGCAATATAACCCAGAGGCCACTGCAGCAGAATTAGAGAGGCCAAAGTCTGCTGCAGGCAACAACAAAGAGCCCGCAAACTAATCCCAGGTTCTCTGAACTCTTTCATTGTGAATATCCTGATTCATTTAAACTCATCCGTTTAATGCCACTTTCTCTTAGACTCATTCTAAAACCTCTAAATTAAAACATCTGAAACACGTACCTCTGGTTAGATTCAGTTTTATAATCTTTTATCTTTTGCCTGCAAAGCAGTTTGAATAACTTCTAAGGTCTGATAAGGTGCTGTCTAAATTACCTTGCACTTACATTAGCCTTGCGTTATCTTGGGAACCAAACTTAAGTCACTAGATAGCTATACACATTTAATATACAGACACAGCTAGCTAACTCTGGTTACTGTGTACACTGCTATACTCTACATTCACTTAAACCTGACTAGCTAGCATCAGTTGCTATGATTTGACAGCTAGTAAGCTAAACATTCGATACTCATTTCTAAAGAGCACCTTTATAAAGATAACATGATAAATGATTTATTCCTTTTTTATTTTGGAAATTATTGGGTTACAGACTTTAGCATACTAATACTACTAATAATAAAAATAATAATAATAGAAGAAACTATTTTCAGTTGCTTCCTTATTCACAAAGGGTCACCACAGTGAGTGACTCCACATGTTTGATTTCCTGACAGGGGAAGCTCCCTTGTGAAATAATAATAATGATAATAGTAACAATAATAATAATATAGATGCTCATCTGTAATTAGCTATATTAAAGGCTACATCATTGCTTTGACAGAGCAGTGGAAGTACAACGAGATAGAGTTCTCTTTATCCTTTACCTCCTGGAACATGTCCACAGGTCGTTTGGAAAACTCTACATACTAATTACAAATGCTCATTTGGCAGAATAGTGTGAGGGTGTTTCCTTAATGATTTATTAGCCTGTATGATGTACAAACTTTCTGTGAGAGACCAGTCATATAGTAAAGAACGTAATGCTTAGTGTAGAAATACACTCATATTTGTCTTTCTTTTGTCAGCTGTACATTATGATTGTATACACCTTATTATTTGTGTAAAGTGCATAAGTACCAACTCCTTACAGGGTTGCCACTTATGCAAAATGTTCAAAACAGGATACACTAGTGTGACAAAAGTTTTGAATGTAAAAATAATTTAGTTTGAAAATAAAATCTGAAATATGCCAAAAACTATTATTGTAAAAATGCCTTAAATTGGATAAAATATACATCTGGTGTTATTCAGGTTGCACTTCTTAGTTCTATAGACATATCAAATGAGAAATAATTTTTTTGTATGTTTTTCATTTTACACTGCTGCCTAAAAATATCCCCATAGCACCACTATGCTTCACTTTAGGGATGGTAATGGCCAGGTTATGAGCAGTGCCTTGTTTCCTCCAGACAAGACTTTTGGCATTTAGTCCAAAGAGTTCAGTCTTTTCTATTACAGTCCTTTAGGTGTCTTTTGACAAACTCTAGGCGGGCTATCATGTGCCTTTTACCAAGAAGTCTCACCATCTGCCATCAGGCCTGATTAGTCCAGCAGATATGGCTGTCCTCCTAGAAAGTTTCTCCTATCTCCACCCAGAAACCCTGGAGCTTTGTCAAAATGATTACCAGGTTCTCGGTCACCTCCCTTCTAGTCCCATTGCTCAGATTGCTCAGATAAAACCTGCAGGACACCAGCCCTCGAGGCCTGGACTTCCTGCTAAAATGGAGTTTTTCCTTCCCACTGTTGCCAAGTTGCTCATGGGGGGGGGGGGGGGGGGGGGGGGGAGTCATCTGATTGTTGTGGTTTTCTTTCTATTATGGTAAGATCTTTACCTTACAATATAAAGTGCACTGATGCAACTGGTGTTGTCATTCGGCACTACATAAATGAACTGAACTGGAATAGAAGTTTAAGCTTGTGTGCAGTCCCACTATAATGCAATATCATCTGTATTAAAGGGTTATATCACAGGGCAAAAAATACAATTATGCCTAATGTTTTCTACATCAACTTTGTACGCTGTATTTAGTTATCATGTTTCTTGTTCCTGATCCCCTTTAAAACATCTTGGTCACAGGGATGAACAGCACTGATATAGGGTGCAAAACAAACCATGCACTGTGTGAGAAGCTCTCTGAATGTTTGACATCACCTTGCTGCCATGCTGACACAGACACCATGAGACCTATGGGTGGTGATGTCTGAGTCACCACAAGTCTGAGATGGTAACGATGACTCGTGGTGATTCAGAATCACCCAGCTGTTGTCCATCAAAACTGTAAGAGGTGCGAGGGGCCAGGGCACCCTTGCTCTGCTCTTTCCCTACTTACTGTATTAGTACTTTCACCAACACCCCCACCCCTCCACAGAGGGGTTATTTTTGCTCAGCAATGTCACGCCCCCACGGCTAAGAACTCAGGTAGAAAACTGAGCCCCTTACAAACACACACACCACCCCCTCCACCTTCTTCCCCTCTCTCTCTCTTCGTCACTCATCCTCAGCTGACACTCTGACAGAGCTGCTGTGGGACTGAGCTGACTTTACCGAATGGACCCGGAGGAGAATCTGCTGAAAACTGAGCTGGCTCACTAACATATACACACAAACAAATACAACTGCACTGTGGAAATAAAACACGCAAACAAAGCCAGTCTTTCTTGACCATGACGGATACTGCCACCGAGGAGGACAAAGACCCTGATATTGAGCTGTTTGTCAAGGTGGGGGTCTAAATGTGTGCATTTTGGTGTGAGTACATCAACATTTGACTAACATCAAACTAATATTCGATCATTTCTTGTCTCACTTCTGAATCTAATGTTGCTGCACATTTGTTTGCATGCTGTTGATAATGTTTTTTGTTTTTTGTATGACAAGTAACATTTAAGTTCAGTATGCACACATTATTATCACCTAAATAGCGAGTGTTTGGAATAGTGTTTGGTAAGGTGGGGGGTTAGCGGCTTCTTCAAGCGTGTGCATGCCATGTTGTTGTTGTTGTAGCGTGCTGATTTTCCGTGTGTTAACCTGACACCCACGTGCACAAACAATCTCTCTCTTGCTCTCTCCCACTGAATTATTACTGGGGTCCTTTCAGTATTGAGAGCAGCAGCTTTTAATAGCTGAAGGTTAAGCCACAATATCTGTTGGCATGTGGCGTAATACGCTAATGCATAACATGTATCCTTGCTAGGTATACTAAGTAATACACTTTCAGCCAGAAACCCTTTAACCAACTGAGATCAAAGTTGTTGATGACTACAAACCCTAACCATAACTCTAAAAGTAACCAATCAGAATATTTACATTTTACAGTCCTCACAATCAGCAGTCAAGGAAATTATGAATTATTAAACTGTTCATGAATTTGATTCTACCTAACAGAAATAAAAATATTTTAGTATTTTTTTTCCAAAAAGTCTGTTTTTCTATTCTTCAGAATAAGAGTCATCACTAGTGATGATGAGATGACTCTAAGGCAAATTCCTCCCACTTTACAAGTTACTGACATATCTGTAAAGAGAACATTCATTTCCTTTCTGAAATGAGACCATAACATGAATGTATAACCTTTCAAGTAGTTTTCATTGTGTTACTTTACTGTTTTTTATTCCTTTATTCTATTTTTGTGAACACTTGAACATATATGCCGAGTTAAGAATAATAGAAAAAAGGAGACATTAGCTAGCCATGTAAGCTAGCACATCTCTCATCATCTCTAGAGTCCACAAATTAACATATTCATTTCATTTGTTTGAATTAACCGAGTGTCATTGTTTCTTAATTTTGTTTGATTAGTCTCTATCCAAACTGAGTCTCTAACAGATCCAGACAAACTGTTTTCCTTATTTCTGGTCTTTATGCTAAAATGAACTGACTGGCTAACTAGTAAACTTTAAGCTATCTGGTTTAACTTTTAGCTTGTTTTGAGACTGTTAGTGGATTTAAAAAATAATAATTATATTTATATATATATATATATATATATATATTTTTTTTTTTTTTTTTTTTTTTTTTTTTTTTAAATTGAGGTTTTGCAGAACTGTGACCATTGACCACTTGGCGTTAATCATTTTTATTGTCAGTCGTGGTGCTGCTAAAGGATCAGTTGAAAAAGACCCACCTGGCAACCACCAGTCGTGAGGGGAAAAAAAGAGTATTCCCTAACTGGCTGTGAGTGTTCTCTGCAGCCGCTGAGAAATTTACCACTAAAGTCACAGTTAGGCAAGTCTACAGACTGGTCAGTGAACTTTCCCTTTGCTAGCTGCAGCAATCAACAAGGGCAGGAAGAGAATCCTGCTTTTTGTTACTTTCTTGCTGGTTTTGATAGAAGAAGAGGTTGGATTGGAGAAGTGAATCGGAAACAATGGTAGCTTACTGTATACAGTAGATGCAGTGAGCATTTAATTACCAATTACCACAAATCACATGAAAATATGATTTAAGTGGCATATAAGTCAGGTTCTTCACATTCCAACTGATTAAAATGTATATATTATGTAACATTCAGCGCTTCAGTGTCTTATGTACTGTACCTGAATGGATGGCAACAGCAATGAGAAAATTCTTGAAACACTATAAGCTTTATACAGTACATTTTTGGCTAAAATGGGTTTTCTTGTCTTAAAATAAGATTGAAAAATATTTTAGGTGAAGTATGAGTGTTTCCTCGGCTCGACAGTGACCGCTGTTGTATGATTTAATACACACTGCTGCAGTAGGTAGGGACCAGAAGTCCAAACAGGCAGTGAAGCATGTAATGGAAGCAGCGTGGATTATTCATGTTAGACCTGGTGTCTCGTTACAGTGTCCTGTTGCAGCTTTGCATTCACGCACACACTGAAGAACACATGTACACAAACATACACACTTTCTATTTCGATAATATACACACAAGCCCAACTGCAAAACCCCCGCTTCACACTATAAAGCACTGATTCTTTGTCTTTCACTGTGCCAGTGAGCTGATTAATTGATAGCTCATCGGGACTGCATGCATTGTGTGCAAGTGTGTGAATCAGTGTATGTGTGTAAATGTGTCTGTCAGTGGATTCTTGCATGCATTAAAAGAAGAGTAAGTCAGCATTCATCTCTATGTATTACAAATGCACATTCTGTTTTGTACTCAGCTCTAAACTATATTACAGGCTGGGAGTGATGGCGAGAGCATTGGAAACTGTCCTTTCTCCCAGCGCCTCTTCATGATCCTGTGGTTGAAAGGTGTTGTCTTCAACGTCACCACTGTTGACCTAAAGAGGTAATAACTAAATGTTATTGTGTTAAATGATAACACAGTGTTGTGCTGTCAAGTTACAGTTCACAATCAAGCCATTTACATATTATAAAGTATATAAAATATCTCAACTGGTGTTTTTTGTTGTTTGGGTTGGGGTTTTTTGTGCCTGTTTTTATTTGAGCCCCAAAATTCATATAAATTCTTCTCTTGGTTGCGTTACTTGTAAAAATAAATAAATAAATAAATAAATTAATTAATAGATACACAATGTAATGCAAATAAAGCTTTGTCACAATATTAGTATTACGTTTAGATCTGTATTTTCAGCTGCACAGTTGTAGGAACAGGAATTCTGTCTGTTTTGCTCTTTGTTAAAGTAAGGCAAGGCAAGTTTATTTATATAGCACAATTCAACAACAATTGGTGATTTGGGTGTCCAAATTCATAGACTCTTCCAAATGGTCCTCCTTCTTCCCAGATTTGAAGCAGAGGTCGGGTGTATCCTTCGTGGCCCAACCTATCCCAGAATTCATAGCGTGGCCCAGCCAATTCCAGTTTCCAACAATACTTAGTTTTACTCTTATTACTCTTTCTGAGTCACAAAATAAACTTTTACGATATTTTCAGGCGAGAACGTAGCTGCGTAAACTTCAAATATCTGTTCGGTTTATCAAGGTATCACATATTTCCAAAAGTGCTCCGATGTTTTCGGAGACATGTGTTTCCCAGCTCGATGGCTAGCCAGCAAGAACACCGGACTCCAGGCACATTGTTTTCATACCGCCTGCGGTCTTTCGTTACTCAGGTTAAACATGATATATAAGGCTACGTCCACACGTTTGAAAACACAGATTTTTCTATGTGTTTGCACCTTTCGTCCAGACATAAACGGCGTTTTTGGTCACTGAAAACTGAGGCTACGTCCACACGTACCCTGGTATTTTTGAAAACGCAGATTTTTCTATGCGTTTGCACCTTTCGTCCACACGTAAACGGTGTTTTCAGTCACTGAAAATGGAGATTTCTAAAAACGCTGGCCAGGGTGGATATTTTCTAAAACTCCGTTTTTGCATTTACGTGTGGACGAGAAAAACGGAAGAAACGCAGCGTCAAAGGTGTGCGCCTTTTTTGACGTCACACTGTGCGCCACGTTATTGTTTCGATGAAATGAATTTCTACAATACTGTTACTGTTAATTGTACTCTCTGCAGTGTTTGAATGCTTACATATACACACAGTTACTGTCCCTCCACACATAGGACTCTGTTCTGCTTCTACGCCCCAGCTTTGTACTTTTTCCCACCGAGGCTTCTAGACTTCTGATTGGCCAACATTTCTGCACGGTTAGGAATCTAGCGCCCCCTGCTGCTTTGGCATGTTCATAGCAGCGTTTTCCTTCATTTCTGCCTTTATGTGTGGACGGGATTATTTTTTAAAACGAAAACGGAAAATCTCCGTTTTCAAAAATATCCGTGTATCTGTGGACGTAGCCTAAGTCACTTAGATAACTTAAACAGTTATTGTTTGGCTTTTTTCAGTGTTTTATTTGTTTGTGAGTAAATCAGTTTGGCTGAGATTAAAGTTATAGTTTCTACACAGCTGAAAAAACGTTAAACAGAAAAACTGATTAAACAGAAGTGTGAGATGGTCGAGAATTTACGGCAGTGTCCTGTTATATTTTAGATAGCAAGGAGCAGGCGGCTGAGTTTATTAAACTCCACAGAGACAGCGGTGATGCAAATCTGAAGGCTAGACCGTCCCATTTCACAGCTGCTCACTTCCAGCCTACACGGCCTTCGGAGGACCCGACCCACGTAGACCGCAAAAGCCGGGTCCTAAGGAGGATGCAGCCTCTGAATTTGGACACAGCTTAGATGTAGCGTTTTATTGAAACGTGTAAACATACTACGAAATGTATTACATTGTATATTGTATGACTATCTTTTTAACATTCTTTTATAAGCTTTATTGGAATTTCTTTAAGCAGTCTTTGAGAATAGTTCCTAGTTCTGTGACTCGAAACAGCCATAAAACAAACATTGTTAAATAAGAAAAACAAAAAAAAAATGTTTGATATTGTTGCAGTATTACACAAACCTAATTAACATTTTCTTTTATCGACAAAAGTTAAAAAATGGCTTTCAGAGGTCTATTTAATTACGCTCTGGCTCCAAGTGCTGCTCTGAGATATACATGACGGTAATAAACAAAATCTCTGAGGGTCGCAATTAAGTTTTAAGAGCCTCATTACTACATTATCAGTGTTATTACATATTTGACATATTTATTGAAGAGGGTGTAAAAATGATTCCACTCTAATCAGGAAACCAGCTGATCTTCACAACCTGGCTCCTGGGACACACCCGCCCTTCCTCACTTTCGAAGGGGAAGTTTACTCTGATGTCAACAAAATAGAGGAATTCCTGGAGGGAAAGCTGGCTCCACCGAAGTAGGTCTCACACACAGACAAAAAGAGATTGGTAAATAGGCCAGGTAACAACCCGAAACAATGTTCTGCTGCTTTTTCAGGTACCCCAAACTTGCAGCAAAGAATCGTGAATCCAACACAGCAGGAAATGACATATTTGCCAGATTTTCAGCTTTTGTCAAAAACACAAAACCGGATAAAAATCGAGGTGAGCATGCAGCACCCAATATGTCTGTAATTGGGTTTGTCGTCTTTTAAAATCCTATGGTAATGCTTCCTGTGTGTTTTAGCTTTAGAGGCCAATCTAAACAAGGCCCTGGCTAAGCTGGACGAGTACCTGATTAGTCCTCTCCCTGATGAGGCAGATGAGGGAGAATCCACCCGCAAGTTCCTGGACGGAAATGAACTGACACTTGCTGACTGCAACCTTCTACCAAAGCTTCATGTCGTTAAGGTAGCCTCCGCCGGAGTGGTTTCTTTATCTTCAGCTACTTTAATCATTTAACTTTGGCTTTTAGCAGTGTCGAAATAACTTGCGCTTTTACAGGTGGTTGCAAAGAAATACAGAAACTATGAGATCCCGTCAGAGTTCAAAGGTTTGTGGCGGTACCTCGGAAATGCTTACAAACAGGACGAATTCATCAACACCTGTGCAGCTGATGTGGAAATCGAGCTAGCCTATAAGGATGTCGCCAGGAGGCTGGGGAAATGAATGCATCACAAGCACCCAAGAACCTTTTTATCTTTTATTGAGAAATTTCTAATAAATCGCTTCTTTTTTTGAAAACCATTACATACACTTTTGGCACAGTGTGTGTCACTTGTAATAGTAATATAGTAAATATGTTTAACTGTAGCACACTGGTGTGATGTTTCAGAGAAGGTGCTAAAAATCATGAATAGTGTTTGTAATGGTACTGTGTAGCAGCAGATGTCTGACGCATCAAACGATGCTTGCAAACTAAAGAGGCTGAAAATAGTTTCATAATGATTACATTACAATCATTTTTCAAAAAAGATTCAATGAGGAAAAATGTATGAAGTTTGCAGCTCAGTGTTTAGTATAGTAAATCCCTGCCTTAAGCAACAACTGTCCAGTCATCGGTGATTAATGAACTGACAGCAGGTGAACTAAGTAAAATTGCCTGGGGAGTGTAGTTCACACTACATTCAAACACAATGATCAAAGCGAAAATTTACAAGTAGGAAAAAACTGTAGCATTAAAATCAAATGCCAGCAAAAAAAATTTAAAAAAGAAAGACAAACAAACAAAAACATTCCGTTAAATTTAGCGCAAATGAAAAAAAACAAATCCCTTTTTGTTTACAGGTCATGCAAATATAACACACCCTACTATTCGTAGTCAAGTGCAAGGAAGGACTGCTTTGCTTTGTACAGATAGTTTTGTGGTGGTATTGTACCAAGCAACATTACATCATTAGCCTCTAGAAACATTATGTGTTAATAAACACTAATAATTAAATAAGTAGCAATAGCTGACACCTCGCATACTCAATTTTACTTTTACAACTTCATATTAAACATATTAAAAACTACCGATAGGCAGATAGTTTCACAGCTGGGAAACCTTTTAAATCACAAAACCGTCCCAGTATTCTTTTATGGTTTACATGGGTCAGATTCTCTGCATATATTGGTCATTCTTTTAGCCTTTCTTGGGTAAATAAACAAATAATAATAAAATAATAATAATAGAATAATAAAAAAAAATAAAGAAACTGTTGTATTTGTTGTTTTTTGCTTTAACTTTTGCCAAGTTAGCCTTAATTTGCTAATTGGCTAGCTTTTTCTTCAAGGCTCATAGACAGGGGCGCCTCCGAGAGGGGGCCACTGAGAGGGGGGGGGGGGGGGGGGGGGCGGTGGTGTCAAGAGAAAGGAAGACCATACAATAATACAATAAGGTGAAACATTAACTTTTATTCCGGCATATATAATATTTGTCATTCGTATTTCCTGTTGTGACTCCCACCCCGCACAATATTTTTCAAGTAACCTATATTTGACAACAGCATAACAAAACGTAAGTTCGGTTTTTGGTGTGCCACCCCAATATTTTTAGTGGCCACCCCTACGGAAAAAAAATTCTGGAGGCGCCCCTGCTCATAGATGCAACATTTGTCAGCATAGCTGCCTAAGCAACACACACATTTAGCATAATTGCCTATGTTGCTTCAGCTAACGATGCTCTAAAGTTGATGTTAACAGTCATTCAAACCAAGGTGTCAAAAGTGTAGGAAAAATTTTTGTAAAAATTTGCACTCGACAGATCCCCAAACAGCCAGTGAGTGTTAGGAGGTTAAGATGTGTTTATCCCAATTTCTACTAAAGTATTATCTCCTTACTAATTAAAATCATATTTTTAGTGTCATAAATGTCTTGGATATTGGTTAATCTAACTGTTCTGTTTGTTTGTTTCTTTTTTTTCCCTGTTGATTTTGATATGATTTTGTGTTTTCCAGTTTTCCTGAGTGTTTGAGGAAAGCACTGCTAAAAACGTGTCTCAGCCAAAGCAGTTTGTCTTTTACTGGTGCAGCGTCAGCGCTGTGATGGCCTTCCTTTTTCTAACAAGGCAATTAACCATTTATTTGATCAGTTATATACAGAGTACAAGACAGATTTTCTTAAAAAGTTACAAATCTTTGTTTTTCTTTTGTTAATATAGTTTTCTTGTTATATTGCCTCACACTGTAGTTTACAGCAAATACTTACTCTGTAGCCCTTTTTTAATAGGTTACAGTCTTGTTTTCAACAATAACTTTCTTTTTCTAATTAACAAACAACAATGCTCTCAGTCTGGGAAATCAGCCTGTAATAAAAAGATCATACATGACAGTAACCACCTAAATAAACCAAATTTAGCTAGTTCTTTTATGCACACTGATGGTAGAGGATTTAATCACGGGTGCCTTAGTGAGAATCAAGTCACCTCAGCCTTCGGCTCTATGTCTGTACAGTAATTTATGCATGTTTGAATATGATAGGAATGTGAATTTTTCATGTCATCTCTGTAGAGCTGCTGGGAAAAAAACCTAAACTTCATATGTCTGTAAATGATCAACTACTATATTTGTCTTCTCTCTGATGATTGCAAGCCACTGTGTAGTCTGTCTTGCTTATTTGAATATTAAATCTATTTTCTCAGAGGCTGACCTTGGGGCTCGTGGTTTTTCACTGGAAACTGTTTCATCACGCATGCTGCGGTCTAGTCATACAAAAGATCAGTGAACAATTGACAGCACTGACGTTCCCAGTAAAACACAAAACAGGTTTTCTCTGATTTGTTTATGGAAATACATTTCGTCATATTCCACGACAGCACAACCACCCACTTTATTTCCACTCAGGCTGAAAATGCCTTTCTCTGGAGGTGATGAATACAGCTTTCTCGCAAGCTTTAGATCAAAATTCTCTGTTTTCATGGGTCAGTGAAAAGTGTAATTTATTTGCATTGCAGTATTTTTTAAATTTAAATTTCCTGAATTCTGATATCAGTATCTGCTCGAAGGTATGATCCCGGTTGAATGAGAAAATGCACTTTATATGTAACAGCAGGACAGATGTGCAAAAAGGACCGTGAAGGAGCAGCAATTGACAGTAATGATGACTGAGTGCTTTACAGTCCAGATATGAACAGTCTGTGGCTTCTACCAGCCAGCAGATGGCAGCAAACACAAAGTTTTATTGCTCTGTAACAGAGCGTATATAAAGCAAAGGAGCATGCAGTTAGGGACCGTCTTAATATAGGTGTCTTCTTTCTGTTAAACAGTCACATTTAAAGGGAATTGCCACCTGTCATAAATGTCATTAAAAACAAACAAAAAAGATAATTGTGGTATAAAATCATATCATGTTTCTTTGAAGCCTGATCATCTGTTGTGCTAATCACTATCAGAAAAGATAGATAAAAAGCAGCATTGATGTGTATTGACATTTTGTTCACTATAGATCCTTCTCTGTATTATACGTAATATAATAATAATAATAATTATTATTATTATTACTATTATTATTAGTAGTAGTATCGGTGGTGATGGTATTAGTATAAGTATTATTAGTATATTAGCAGTAGTATTATTATTAGCAGCAGTATTAATAGTAGCGATACAGTTTTATGGTTATGTGCGTTTTTCCGCGGACTGGTAACACGCGGACGGCCCCTGAGCGCTTATTCGCCTTGCAAGTGGGCAGAGCGGACACAGAGGCTCGTGCGCTGTGCCCAGAATCTCTCTGGTATATTCAACATAACGACGTCTCCGCACGCTCAATGTGGGGTCTCAAGCCTTAAAACCATCTCGTAGCATCACGGCGGGCTGCCGACAGAAACCACTGCAAAGGTGAGACCCGTCTTTCCCCACAGCAACGGCTTCGGGGCTCGCTTTCTGCCCCGTAGTTAGGGTTATATCGCTGGAAGAAGAGGCGCAGTGTTTTGCCTTGTGTGCTCGGGAGTGGGCGACTTGTCATTGCGGCTGTTTTGTTGTGAAATGTGTGGTGGTCGTAGCTAGGAAGCTAGACAGCTAGGCATCTCCCTATTCCAAAGCAAAGCTAGGATAGCCTAATAGCTGGCACGAAAGGCAGCTGGATGTGTAAAAGGCGAGCCCAGTGGTGGGTAACAGAGCTGAATAGCTAACGTGAACGCTAGCTGATTTTTCGAGCCAGTTGGGGAGTCAGGACGTTAATCGCCGCAGCGAGCAGGGGGTCCCATTGTTATTACACTGCCGGTTTAGCTAGCTTATAACTAAAACTACAGTAACGCGGTGTTACAGTGAAGGCGGCGATGGCTGCTCTTTTTGCCCGAATGGCATCACTACGGAGAACAGGCTGTTCAGGAATAACAAAAAGCCCAACTCTCAGGTCATTGTAACATGTCTCGGTCAAGGACAGTTTATTTAAGCAGCCTCGGAGCAGCTGTCTGCACTTCACCAGGAGAGCTCCGTGTTGTTTCACTCCACGGAGCTGTTAACCGGACAAAGGTGAGTCGTTAACATTCCGCGGTGTGTGGCTGACAGACGACCTTGTTCTTCTCGCACTGTGTTGCACTTCCTCGTGTTTTTTAAGAGCACTTTCTTAACTCGGTGAAACAGTAACCAGGCATTCCAGCTTGTTAGACACGAGCGAGGGAGACGCGTCTGCTCCGAGGTGATGTTGCGTTTTGGTGACACAGGCTGATATAGCAGGCTGTGGAAGTTAATCGTGTTAATTCTTGCCCCGTGGGCGTTTTTGATCAGCTGCCCGGAAAAGGACCGGTGTTTGAAAATGAAAGGAAATGCCTGGAAAAAATACCAGGGCAGGCAAAGCTGGTCATACCTGGTAACAAGGACATACAGAGAGTGAGAGATTCTTTGTGTGCTCATTGCTCAAGCACTCAGCTCGCCAGAGCAGGCCACTCATTTCAGCGTGCACCCATTAGTAGCCTCATGTAATCAGGTTATGACACACTGATTTGATCATATGAAATTCATCCTGCTTTATTATCATGCAGGCCCCAAATGTGATTGTATTGTCTACACAAAGGATGTAAAGATGTCTTTAAACATGTGTGGTGGTAAAAGTTTGGCGGTTTCCCCCCAGAATGGGAGGAAATCCTGTATTATTAGACGCAACCCAGCAAAACCTCACCTCCTTCCTGCTTATGATCTCGACTGTACGCTGTGAGCTAATGCTGGGAGTAGTGTCCATCCAGAGGTGAGCCACTGACTGCCCTCTGGCTTTATAAAGAGCTCTTTGAGTTGCTTTTTTTTGCTGCTGGAGCCTTTGGGATTATAAATCCTGAGGAAAAGGAGCTTTGCTTCAGTGGCATGCTTCACTGGCAAGAAATCGTTGGAGAGTGCGTGTGTGCAAGTGTGAGGGGAGGGTGTGCTCTGGTGGGCTCCAGTGGAGAGCCAGCAGAAGCAGCAGAGGGGTGAGGAAGGAGGGACTGAAGATGGAGGGATTGAGGCACCGTGGTGATGATGGAAACCACACAGGGAAAATAGAACACTTGGCTTTTCTGTGATTAAAAGGCTCCTGTTTCTCTTAGGACAAACACACCTGTGTTTCTGCTGTGTGCCAGCTTTCTGGCTACTGATCGCTGAGCTAAAAAAATCAGTATGGTAAAAGCCAGCGATTTCTGAAAGTTATCAGATTTCCAATGGGGCTGCACTGTTATATCGGCCAGTATTGGCTTTGTTAATTGATATCCGTATCTAAGCAAACAATGTATGGCAGTGGCCAGCATTTATTTGTTGTGTCACATTGGTTTTCAGTGTTTCCAAAAAGCCAGAGATCTCTGAAAGTGATTGGATTTACAACAGGGATGTACCAATATCCAGGATCGTTTTTGGCTGCTTGTGGCCCTTTTGACTGACATCGGTCAATGTTCAGTTAAGCTGTCAATAGACAAAATTGAAGTATTTCCATATATTTCAGTAAGACTTGAAAGCAATACATTTGTAGTAGGTTGCACCAATATACCCTGCATATATTCATATTGGTTGATGGCTCTGTGGTTGACTGACATCAGTTAATCACAAACACGGTATGAAAGATGGACCTAACTTCCAGGTTGGAAAAATAAAGCCAGCATGGAAGTGCCTTAAGCCTGAATTGTATTTGAAGGCCACCAGATGGCGATAGCAATTATTATTATTTGTAAATAATAGAAACCATCCATCCATTCGCTTCCGCTTATCCTTTTCAGGGTCGCTGGAGCCTATCCCAGCTGTCATAGGGCGAAAGGCAGGGGTACACCCTGGACAGGTTGCCAGTCTGTCGCAGGGCTAACACACAGGGACAGACAACCATTCACACTCACACCTAGTGGCAATTTGGATTATCCAATTAACCTATCCTCACAAG